CCGGCGTCCACAGTCCTCCCATCCGCTCAACGCGCCAGAACCGCCGCGCCTGCCGTTAACGCGACGTAAACAGTCGCGGGAATCGCGACAAGGACATAGCATCGGGGTGAGTGAAACAGCAGTGTCATTCGCACCACATGCTACTGCTTTCATTCATTCAGGCAGTTGTTTCCGAAAATCCTTTTTGGATGACAGGTCCCCTTCTTTGGACAACTATGACTCTCTCAGAAGCGGAGTATTTGTGAGACGTAAAACAGCATTATAAAGCACTATCTTCACTGCTTTTGAATTGTGCTAAACTTTCTTTGACTTTTTCTGAATGTAATATCTCTGATGGGTTCTCGATGGGATAATTGAGAAACACGTGCGAGTTGTGTGGTTCAAAAAAATCAAATCTTTCAGTGCGCTATCACCTTCAAAGCCAGAACTGGTTGGAAGGTTGAATGTCTCCCGCTTTCCGGTCCTTCTGAACACCGGCTAGCTCAGGAGATATTTTAGATGGGTTTTTGGTGCCAAAGATTCCACATGTGTCATTGTATCGTAGCTCACTTGGAAACCTTACTATACCTTCAGAGTGCATTTCCTCGTTAAACTGAATGAGGGAACTGTAGGACTATCATCGATCTTCTGTATTGCGCCATGCATTGGAGAGTTACGCTGAAATGCTTGGAAAACGAAATTTTTGCTTAGGGCTTGCACATGCAAGCCGGAATTCGGAAAAGTTCACAATTTCACAATCACTTGTTTGCTTGCTTTTCAATGCTGACTCACTCCTCCCCTAAAGGTCTCCCCACTCCTGGCAACCGAAGACGATGCGTCCCCCATGGGGACCACTCAGCTGTGCTGTACCCTGTTGCTTATGGGTCCCCCTCCTACTCCTAGATGTGTTCACGCTGTACGCCGTGATCGCGAATCAAAACTGACAGGAATTCTCTGCAATGCACTCAATACGGAAAAGTGCTGACTGTTCATTCTGCATTGTTCATCCGCGTTTATTTCATTCCAGGTCTCCGTTTGCTATTATTTCTTGCCGTCACCACTGTACTCCTCGTGAACCTATTACAAATTGCGTACTTTATGCTGTTCAACCCACATGCGTCACAATGTAGGGTTGTGTATGTGTTCAGGTAAGTGAGGGAAACGTGCTGATTTACGCCGAGCATCCAAAATCTTGTCATTTTAGTATCAGAGCTTGTATCTCTACAATACTTCCTATTGAGCATCACAGTACTGTAGCAGGTCTTTTCCTCATAATTCTCCATATTCTCCTGCTTATATTGGCCATGGTAAGACAACCCTCTGAGAGAAATTTCAAGGAGAAATTTCAATATCAAATTTCATTTTATGGTTATCTTGAGAGCTGAATCGTTCCCGCAACATGCGAAATTACAACGGGTCCTTGAAAATTTGAAACTCTGGCCTCTTGGAATGCGGGCCAATGTCAGCCTAAGAAACTTGTGATGCTTGGACGTCATTCATCTCCGCCGTGTGTCCGCCGTAGACGACGCGCACGCCATTTATCAACGTGCACGCGCGCTACGCCTGGCTCGTAGCTGCACACCGCCAACTGATGCTTCATGTATTAAAGAAACGAAATTCGCCCAGAGTATGGTGGTAATACAGCTCGAATATGAACGACAAGGTACTAGATATTAGGTTGGCGGGAAAGTCCTGTCACAATTTCACAAATTACGCTTTCTTTTTATAGCGAGGCGTATAAGATCAAATTGTCCCGCAATGTAACTTTGAAGTTCTTGCCAGTTTTGAGCACCTATGGATGCAGGCAGCCGGCGCGACGCAATGTTGAACATCATCATTCAATTCTGACTTGGGCTCGAGTCGTAGAGGTTTGCTCGGCCATATATCGGTTAAGTACGGGAGGCAACTGCAGTTAGAAAGAGCAATGTCCGGGCTAATTCTTTGCAAGGAGAAAGGCATCCAGCTATATAGCATGAGGTTCGGCTCGAACTTGCTTTGCAGTGCGGCTCCACCATCACGCTGAAGGGGTTGGGCGCCGGATCTCCGCCCCCCTCCCCCGCCCCCCCCTCGTAGCTGTTTTGCGTGCGGATTGACCAAAGAGAGCTTCTTCATCCAGCAGTTTCCTGACCCACAGCTCCCTCGAGCTGAGTTCACTGGTACACCTAAACCTCACTTCGTCGTTCAAACTGTCAAAACTTCAGGCCCCCGCTCTGAAGCATTAGCGTCGTGGAAGATTGTCTGATAATTGTAGACATCGTCCTCATTGCCAGCACCATTATTTCGGCACGACAGCTGCCATGCTTGGCCACCAAAGTGGAAGGAAGAAAGTTGAGGAAGCGCTTAAAGGGTCGGTACCGGAGGTAGCAGACAACATTCTTGTCCATATTGCAGAATAAGGAGAGGCGGGGTCAAGCCAGTGATACTAATAGGAAGACCATTCCTGCTCACATTACCGGTTAACCCTCTTCAGGTAATGGGCAAGCATTTTGGGCTCAAAAAAGTATGACAGAACTTTCCCGCCAACCTAATAACTAATTACTGGAGAAAAAAAAAGCAGAAAAAAACCGTCCAAAATCCAAATGTTGGACCCCACGCCGATCCCCATCTCCTCATACTTATAATAACGATATCACCTCTCACCCTTCCCATTTCATTCTCACCATTCATATGGAGAGAGCTAAATAGTAGGACGGCAACTAGCTAGTTGCTAGGAGCCTCTGGGGGCTGGTACAGGCCTAAGGGATGCAGCTGGGTTTATTTGTTCAGATTTCGCAGGGATTCTTGCGAATTTTTACTTTTTAGATGTAGCCGAGCCTCCACAACGTCCGCCGGAGAGCCTGACACATTTCAGAAGTTACAGCCATAGTTTAACGTGCTTTAGATCAAAGAGCAGATTAGCATGTAATTGCCAGCAGGGCGGCGGCTGCGAAAGTCCAGACGATGGAAGAGAAGGGGAGACTTGTGAATCAGAGGGGAGAAGCTGCATGTATATAGGCAGACGTCTGCGTCGCCGCTACATACCTGTAAACGCCCCCTTTCGAATCCTAATATGATTTGTAACTACCGTCACATGGATGGTGTCGCTGGAGCATGCGAATTACGAACCGGAGGGTACTAGGGACATAGGGAATGCTGAGCTATCAAAAATGTCTAGCTTCACTGACACGCGCTTTCAAATAGCCAAAGCGCTCCTATAACTGCTGTGGACTCACGAAAAACCAACGATCGTGATTTGCCCTAAAGGAGTTTGGCACGATAAATCCCCCAAGACGACTTAGGATCAACATCCTTACAGGATAGAATTCCGACCGACGGCGCTAGCAGTCCCAGGTGTCCTTATAAGGCCCTATCAAGCCACAACTTTACGTTCCAAACGCCCGCCAATGCCCGCCCGCCCACAAATGGACGACCCTGCTCCTGACGCTCGTATTCGTTCAATTGGCTGAGCAAATATGAAGCGAAGGGATTGGTATGAAGCGGCGTGATGCTGCATGCATACATGGGTACACATATGCAGCCGTATCTTCGGTAGCGGTGATTGGTAAGATGCCTATGGGAAACTCGTCCGAAATCGATTTACAAGTCACTGAGAACGGGGCTTTTTCTTCGCAGGATTTTGACCGTTTCACTCCGTTCTTTCGCCATTTCCCCACTATACAGCGCCCTACTAGCATTCAAGGCTAAGTAGCAAACCATCGTGCCAACTGCCTTTAAAGCAACTTTTGCAGATTAAGATACAAAAAGGTATTAGACTAGAAAGAAAGTCCTGTCAATGTTTATTGAATAGCTCACAGCTCTGAATTCTTGATCCTGAACATTATGGAATATGCTATGCTCTTAAGAGGTTCTCGAAGCCTTCCCGCAAGAGGCATATAAAGGGTCCTGGTCTTCTGCGTTTAACTGCGACGTAAATTTCACAGGAGTACCTTCGAGTCACCATCTTCTACGAAAGGGTCCGCGGCACTAGAGCAGTTGTCCGCAACATCAACGGTTCATTGTAGGAAAATACCACTACCATCAAATCTGTTCACTGCTGGTTTGCTCGCTTCGCGAAAGGATACACGATTTTCGAAGGCAACCCTAGGTTGCGACGTCCCCACGAAGTGTACTACCCCACCGTTCTCGAAGTTGTAAAAGAGTTTCGGGGAGCCCCTCCCCAATAAGACTGGGGTGTACCTACCTGACAGTTTAACTGCCCCCAAGCTCGCGGCAATCGAAACTGCCGGCTTGGTGGACTGATCCACCGAGCCAGCAGTTTTCAATTGCCGCGAGCTCGGCAAGCTATGCACCCTGGTCTAGTACCCATCGGTCAGTCACACCCTTCTGCGCCCTCATCAGAAAGAGTTTCTTGGAGATTGATTGGTGGTGATGGGGCTCTCTGTGATATCAATGTCTCTCTTAAGGAGAAGCCCATCTTACCAAGCTAAACCGGGCATGCATTAAAAGAAGGTTCGTGTGCTGTCCAAGGTGCGAGAGGAATGCTGCACAACGAGCTGCCCGTGCAAGAACACACAGTTATAGCTACCACTTGTGCTGCTCAGCTCCAGAAAAACTGTGGACTGTTGGAGGAAAAACACTCACCATCAGAGCACCTCGTTCGTGATGACGCAAGACCCTACGCTGCTATGAAAACCTACCGAATAATTTAGGAAGGGGGCTGGGACCATGGTAGCGACGTCCGCTCCAAGTGGTGCCACGGGGGAATGGTCCCTACTGTGAGCTGAGCTAATCGCGGACATTCGAACACAGGGAGCAGGTTTCGTCACGGGCCGACCTTCGAGTACCCATGTTATATCACCCATGTTTAACGCCAAAACGTTCTCAAATTAATGCTCAGGCGTCCACGGAGCCGACGCACACTCGCAAGGCCTTGTGAGCGTGAAAAGTATGCAAGGACGGCATCGAGGGGCAACCAAGCTAGTCCAAAAAGGTCGCAGCGAACGGAGAGACCGTATTGCAGGGACGTTGACGGGCTCATTGTGAGTTGGCAGAGGTTCTGGAGCGCAGCCGAATAGATCTAAGTGCAGGAAACAAAATGGTCTAGTTGTAAGTTGAGAGACAGTAGGCGCGTCTTCAAAGTCATTCTTTGTCACAAGCCAGAGACTACCAACGGAGTGGCTGTAATCGTCTCTCGACGCTTCAGAGACTCCACGCTTCAGTGACTCGATAGCTAGCGTGGAACGAAGACCGCCCGATGAAGATTGTTTTAGCTATCGAGCAATGACTGTATCACTTCTTTTCTGCATTCGCCCGGCTAACGAGATGCACCGTGCGATCTAGGGACGAATTCTAGCCCCTACCTGACCGCGGTGCTAAGAAAGACGGTTACGCTTGCCATGGTGGGTCGGTCATGGAGCAGAGAACCTCGATGGCGAGCGCATCCTGGATAATGCAGCAGCTCATAACCTCACCATCGTGAACGAAAGTTGACGTGATTCCCTCCAGATCACCTTCTACAACGGAAGTGCCAACACAGTTAGAGTTTGTTCTAGCCACGAGTCGCGAGCAGCTGCTTATAGACACGTAAACCGTGTCGTGCGGACAGTTGCCAGGACACACCTTCATACGTACGTTGAATATTGCACCACCCAAAACGAAACAGGTCGAGCGATGTAGTCCCAAGAGAATCAGATGGTGACATTCGAAAGAGAAGGAGGCATCTATGATCTTTCGTATTCGGTCATCAACCATCACGACTGTCGAGGAAACCTGGAAAGCTGCCAATGCGCTAGTTCGCGCCACTCGCTCGGATCGGCACAACGAAGCCTGGAAGGCGCAGAATTGACAAGCAGGGAAAGAAATGTCAGACTGAAGGCGCGAAAAGAGGAGGTGCTCTCACTTGTTTTTGGGAGACAAGTCATCTGAGAACTGCCAAAAATACCAGGAAGTCAAGAGTCGGCAAAGAAGACTGTGGCTGCTACGAAAGCCGCTCACTTTGAAAACGTCAGCAAGAAGCTGGAGGCGCGCGATGGCGAACGGCACATTTACCGACTTGCCAAGGCTCGTCACCGCCAGACCGAGGATGTGGAAAGTTCACATCAACGAAGATTGGGGCTCTACTCTGATGGGCCGAAAAAGTGCAGAGGAGATTGCTTGACTACTTTGAGAAAATCTTTACAGTAGAGAATACACACCTGACCATACCTCATGCCTTACCAGTTCGTGGTCCTGTTCAGAAGATAACCGTGAAGGAAACGGAAGCTGCTCTCAAGAAGATGAAGCTAGGCAAGGCAAGAGGCCCTGAAGACTGGCGCCTGTGGAAGTCTGGGCTCTGCTGAAAAGTCGACGAGTTCTTCAACCAGGTCGTTGCAAAGAAGAAGATGCCCGAGGAGTGGCAAGAGGCACAACGGTGCCAGCTGGAAGAAAAAGGGCAGCCCTGCAGACTGCTCAAATCGACACTATTTACCCATCACTGCCCCAACCTCCAAAATTGAGCCAGTTTTCGACCGAATTCTTTCTCCGTGGACATATTGAGCCCAAATGTTGTCTCCCGGGGTAATTTGACTTCCTGAACATGCATATCACACCGCTTGGCACGAAACCTCATGGCTACTGCGCCACAGGCGCCGCTAATTTGGGGTATATTGGCGCTGACGCCTGTGGGGCGCCTGGAGGTTTCGTGCCGAGCGGATGTGATATTCATGTTCAGGAGGTCAAACTACCCCAGGGAACAAATTTTCAGCCAATTCTGCCACGCAGAAAAAGTCGGTCAAAAACTGGCCTATTTTAGAATATTGGGGCGGCAAAGGGTAAGTAGTACCCTCAAATCATTGTCCAGTTCGCTTGCTCTCGCACTGTATGAAAGTTTTCAAGAGAATTGCTGACAGTCGTATCCGTGGTATCCGTACCCGCCCCTTGCTGAAGAAAGATCGTGAGAAGCGGAAGCATGTCCATCTAGCATTCCTTGACCTGGAGAAACCTCGACCCGCCTTCCGCGTGAAGTTATAAGTACGCCTTGGGTGCGCGTCTTCTAATCCAGCGCAATCAGTCGCGTGCGAATAACAGCAGGCATTCGATGGAATTCCTCATCACAGTGCGCGTGCTTCAAGGATCCGCACTTCCCCCTAATCTTGGTTATCGTCATGGATTCCACTTCATGGGACCTCGGGGAACCGGCTTCGGAAGCGCTGACGATGTGATGCTCGCCTGCGACGGTAAGAAGATCTCGAGCAACAAAACCGGGTCTGAGCGCTTGGCCAGCTTCGGACTTACGTTTAACGTCAAGAAAACCGAGTACGTGATGCTGACTCGAACGAGCTGGTTCCCTTAGGGTAAGTGGCAGTGAGCTAACGTGTACAGCGACGTTCAGATATCTCGCATGAACAATCACGTTTGATGGCAGTCTGGACTCGGAAGTGAACGCGCGTGTTAGTAGAATAGTCGTTCGACCTTTATAGATATGCGATGGAATGCTGGCCCACAACCGAAGAAGTTGAAGCGCCCTTCAGAGTGATGGAAATAGAAATGTTGCGCTGGATGGCCGGCGTTATGCGTATGGATCGCGTTCACAATAACGACATACGGAAGAGATTTGTTCCGAGGAGCTCGAATGAAGAAAGCGAGAAGCTCTCCTCGATGGTATGGTCATGTACTGCGCGCGAATCCTGACACCATTCGTAAAACTGGTTTTGAGCTCGAGGTACCCAGAAAACGGCAAAAGAGCACCCCAAGCAACGTGGCTAGATACGTTACATGCAAACTTGAAGAGCTTGAAGATAGATACCCATACCGGCCATGCATCCAGTCCAGAGAAGTGGCGTAGCAAAATGAGAAGAACGGACGCCGCCGCCGAGCAGTATAAACTCTGAACATGAAGAAGAGGAAGGCTGAGAGATCATACTCCGCTCAACGTATTCTCCTGACATAGGCCCCTACGACTGCTATCAATTCGGTCCCCTTGAGGCTTTCGTAGCTAAGAAAGCTGTCAGCATGTTTGATGACACTAGGCGGAAGGTCGCCGACTTGTTTGACTCGCAGCCTCCCCACTTTGTGGCAGGGGAATCGCACACCTGCCGACTGAATGTAGCACTGCAATGGCTAACAGTGGCGAGTCCACTGATTTTTGTTGTTGAGCTAGAAAATGAAAAAGAAAAAAAGTTGCGATAGTGACGAGACTTTCTTTCCAAACTGATACGACACTCTATTCATAGTTTCTAGGGTATACTGGGAGCTCATCCAGGCACGTGGTGCGACATAGTAGAACGAACTTCACCACGAGAGCTCAGGAGCTACCTGCGAGAGGTAAAATCGGAAGTTTATGTGTGCTGTCTTTTTAAATCATCCTTGAAACAGTGTATTGCAACATAACTTAATTTGTTCCCATATTGAAGAAAGCTCGGATGGAGAGGAAACGAGCAGAACGAGAACAACAAACTCGTAGTGTATCAAGGAGTGGCAGGAGTGGTAGGAGTGGAAGAAGTGAAAGAAGTTCAAGAAGTAGGAGGAGTTCAAGATCCGCTTCCAGGGGATCGGTCCGTCAGCAACCTAAATCCAAGTGAGGGCTTTGATCGCTAGTTCGTAATTCATGTGAATATGTATTATCATGGATGATTCATGTGTACATGTACTTTAGGAGTACACACAGGAGATCCCGTCACAGAAGAAGTAGAACCGCATCGGGCGAACGAAAGAAGTGAGCTTCTCCCGTAAACCCGCAGTCCATGTGTATGTACATAGCTATGAGCATTTCAGGAGAACTCACAAGAAAGAAGTCGCCGTCCAAAAGAAGTAAGCACGTTCAAATCACCTTGTTGGAATCTTAAAGGCACAGTTCGCGACCGCAAGTTGCGGGAAACGGAACTCACAATAGCACAAAAAATGCAAAGTATCTGGATTAGCGGGAGAAGGCAGCAAGAAAAAGCAGTCTGAAAATGTTATAACGAAAGAATTGTGGTGAACTAGCTAGCTAATCTAGCAGCGGTGAGGGTCGATTGGCCTAGGGGTGTCCATAGGGCTCAATTGTCAGCTTCTCGCGGAGCTTCTTGCCGTTTGTTCACATTTGGAAGTAGCGCGAATCTCTGAAAATGCGACTTCGGATCGCCGACAATTTGAGAGTCAAACCTTGATTTTAATCGAGCGAATGTTGCCTTTAATCACTGTGCAGAGTTAAATACGTGGGGGTGAGGGCAAAAAAGACACTTTTTTCATCGACTTTCAAGGCGACAGAAGTAATATTTTATTAGCTTCTGGTCGGACATCCCACCATCGGATCCAGTAACACATTGTAAACGATCATGAAACTCCACACTCGTGCTCTGTGACGCAAAGCTTCTGGATGAACGCCATCGAGAGATTCTGCCACGTGGCCGTAATTCGGTGCCTATGATCAGCGAGGTCGTTGATTTCATCGACACTGTAGACCACCTTGTTGAGTCCGCCGACCTGGCCTTCGAGTTCCAATCACCAGAAGAGTTTCTGACCCCTTCGATTCATGGTGGCTTGCACCCAATCCTGTAACAGTACGAAGTTACCAAGACGCTACGGCGACGACTTCAAAGCAGGATATTCTACTGGAGTTGTTCAGTGTGACGGTCAGCGTTCACTTTCAGTCCGGGGTCCACGAAGAACATATCGGTTTTCCCATTCCAGGAACTTCCGGTCTATTGTCAACCAGGTCCTTGGTGGCTGCGGTAAGATGATAACTCGGACCGTACGACGTTGTCGGTGCTGCTCGATGTTGGAGGTCTTCCAGATCAAGAGTGCGGTCCCCAGGTAGCTGTCCATGGGTGACTCCATACAAGAAGTTTCGCAGCTGTTTGGAGGTGACGTGAATTCCATAGGCTTTTCCAGTCAGGCTGCGATGGAGATGGCTTCATATTTTGGTGTACATGAAGGTGATGGACGAGAGCCTGCTCCTGCTTATCGAGGAACATCTTGGGTATCTTCCGCCCTGGTATCCACGTCTTCTCTCTGGGCTGCGTAAAATTTATCTGATATGTGACTCGGCCGAAAAGCCTTTTTTGCCCCCCCCCCTGTATATCTGTCACTGCCTGTCGCAGAACGCGTAGCAGTAGCGAGCACTGGCCCGAACAGGCAATGTAATCAACGGGATGGGAAGCATGTACAGCGGGAGCGGGAGAGGAAACTCAGGCTGTCCGCTTAGCGATGCTGATAATGGGTGATGTCTACCAAGATGGGCCCATATTTGCTCTCTCAACCTTTTACGACTTATGGAGAACCGGTATAGCTCTAGAATTTGTGGCCAGGGGGTCAGTGAGTGAAGATTTTCATCCCTCACGCGTGATCATTGAAGTATTCGCAGCAGAGATATCCTCTCAGCGCTTAAACCCGCGTGATCCACACGGTGCTGTGTGCCAACACAACCTGTGCTTACAGTCTTGGGGACGATTCAGAGAAGCTGGATTTGCACCAGCCCTTCTCCAACCAATTGTGGAGGCTGACAGGCGATCACAAGTGGTGGAGAAAATGCCTTCGCCGCGCCAGATTCAGCCTCTCTGAAACGCCTCAGCGTCAGCAGCCAACAAGAATGTGCATATTAACATTTCAGGAAGGTTCCGCGATCGCCTGCAAGCTTGGTAAGATCGTCAATTTCCACTTTCACTCAAGAATAATGCGGTAAAAGAATCTGCGGAGGTTTCGCTGAAACCAATATGACCCTCTCGATTCAAATTGAGTAGTCCAAGTTCCATTTCACAACGAAGCTTCATCTCTGACAGCTTTCGTGGGATGGTGAATAATGGGTAATCTACGAATACTTCCTTCGATCATCATCCTTGAATAAGGAGCAAAAATTTGGTGCTGATTTTGGTATTTACCGTGCAAGAAGAGCTAAAGTGCTCACTCTGAACATCCAATCAGCCTATCACCAAATATCGGCCCATCAATGCCCCTGACGG